AATAAATTCACACATTAATAAAGAAGAGAGACTCGTGGATGATATGCTGGCACAAAACTTACCCCAATTAGAGCAGAGACAGCAGAACAACCCTACTAATAGTAAGAAGATAAATATAATAAAGATCAGAGCTGAGATACAGGGGAGGGAAAACAAGAAAACTATGGAAAAAATTAATGCTGCTAAAAGTTGGTTCTTTGAAAGAATTAACAGAATTGATAGACCTCTGTCAAACCTAACCAAAGAAAGGAAAGAACAAACGACGTTTGCAAAGATGAGGGATGAAACAGGAGACATTACAACGGACCTTAATGAAATTAAAAGTACAGAGTACTATTAATGTCTGTACTCTAATGAATTCAACAGTTTGGAAGACTTGTACAAATATTTGGAAACACAATCACTCCCTAGACTATCCCAGATGGATGTCAAGAACCTCAACAGACCCATATCAATGGAAGAAATAGACAAGGTAATCATCGGATTACCAACAAGAAAATCCCCGGGTCAGATGGATTCACAGGAGAATTCTACCAAGCATTCAGGGAAGAACTGACACCAATCCTATACAAATTCTTCCAGATCATAAAAAAGAAGGAAAACTCCCAAACTCTTTCTATGAAGCTAGGATAACTTTGATACCTAAAGTGGGCAAAGATGCCACAAGAATCGAGAACTATAGACCAATATCCCTAATGAACATTGATGCAAAACTCCTTAACAAAATACTGGCCAATAGAATACAAAAGCACATTAAAAAAACAATTCACCATGACCAAGTGAGATTCATACCAGGGATGCAGGGATGGTTTAACATACGAAAGACCATCAGCATTATTCACCACATTGGCAGAAAAAAAGATAAGAATCACATGATAACATCAATAGATGCAGTAAAAGCATTCGACAATATCCAACACGCATTCCTGTTTAAGACACTCAAGAAGATAGGAATAGAAGGAAAATTCCTCAATATTATACAAGCCATATATGAAAAACCAATAGCTAACGTGGTAGTTAACGGAGAAAAGACGAAAACAATTGCACTGAACAAGGGAACCAGACAAGGATGCCCCATTGTCCCTAGTCCTATTTAACATGGTACTGGAGGATCTAGCTAACAACATAAGACAAAGGAAAGATATTAAAGGTATTCAAATGGGGAAGGAAGAGGTGAAATTATCATTATTCTCAGATGATTTGATTCTGTATATTGAAGATCCTTTAAACTCCACAAGTGCAGTGTTGGAAGCAATAGAGGAATATGGCAGAGTGGCAGGGTACAAAATCAACAAACAGAAGTCTATTGGACTGCTCTACACATCAGACAAGATCACAGAGAGGCGATTAAAAAGGTAGTACCCTTTACAAGAGCCAAGCACAAACTGAAATACCTAGGGATATAACTGACTAAAAAATCGAAAGATCTGTCTGAGGAAAATTATAAAACACGACTTCAAGAAATCAAGAGTGAGCTCAACAATTGGAAGAATATCCCATGCTCGTTGATTGGCAGACTCAATATAGTAAAGATGTCAGTTCTGCCCAAGGCATTATATAAGTTCAATGCTATCCCAATACAAATACCACCATCCTTCTTCAAAGAATTAGAAAAACAGATTACCAACTTCATATGGAGGGGGAAGAAGTCCAGAATTAGCAGAAGGAGGACAAAGTGGGAGGGCTTGCTCTACCTGACTTTAGCACGTACTATACTGCCACAGTGTGGTATTGGCATAATGACAGACTCAGACCCATGGAAAAGAGCTGAAGAGGCAAAAATAAAAACAGCATACAGACAACTGATCTTTGATAAGGGCCCAAAAATATTAAATGGGAATCAGATGCCATCTTCAATAAATGGTGCTGGAAAAAATGGATATCTACCTGCAGAAAATTGAAGAAAGACCCTTACCTCAGTGCATGCACAAGAATAAATTCAAGGTGGATCACAGACCTCGAGATAAAACCCCCCAAAATTAGGGCCATAAATGAGGGAATTGGGATAAACCTGAGAACCTTGGCACAGGGAATACATAGGCTATCAGAAATAGGAAAGGATACAAACATAGAGGAGTCACAAATAGACAAGTGAGACATACTGAAGATAAGACACCTGTGTACATCGAAAGAATTCACCTAGAGTGTAATAAGAGAATCCACCAAATGGGAAAACATCTTTAGCAATGACACATCAGACAAAGGCCTTATTACTAAAATCTACAAT